GTTGCTGGCTTCCAAAGACATAATCCCTCAGCAGGGTAAAGGGATGACTAAAGCACCTATCTAGATGTAGCATTTTTAATACCTACGTATATCCTTCAAAAACATTAATAACTACAGGAAGGAGAAGGGTGACAATGCATTATTTTCAGCAGTACTGATTCTGTATACCCTTTGCGGAAACAGCTAGTAGGTAAACAGCTAGTCCTATATCTAAAAACGGGGACCAGATGTTTGCTTCTTAAAAATGCATAGTAAATGCAATTGCCTGCCTTGGGCATCAGCAGACCTGGTTGGCCTTAGCCTACTGAGTCATAAGATGATATTCTGAGAGATTTCTGCCAACCCCATACCATTTATTTTCTGGCATTGTGCAACATTACTTCTTATTCTCCATGCTGCTTAATACCAATATTAACCACAGAGGAAGGTCAGTCAAAGATTTAGAGTGCATTACTTAGCTGCCTCTCCTCTCCTTTAGATCCAGATTGCACAAGAGGACGTGCTTGATTATTGCCTGGATATAGAATTTTTTATCAGAATAAGCAAGGATCCAAGTCGTTCATCTTTGTGGATCAACGTTGTTTGATCTGCTCTGAAAGCAGCTGCATCCCCCAAAGCAACATGTGGCAACTGCCCATTCTGCAGCCCCATACCTCCAAAACCCCTCACCCCACTCACAAAGAAGAATGAAGAATGGCAACACCTGTCAACTTCCAGAAGCGATTCTCTTTTGAAACAAAATACAACACACACCTTCTTTTCCCCAACCTCACAAAGTATTTTTTTTTCTAAAATCAAAGTGGACTTCCAAGATAAAAAGTATTGTCATACTGTACTCACACACCACATCAGGGGCACACCAGCTCCCCGTGAAAAACAAGTTCCTACTTGTTTTCATTTTAGGGTGGTGGTGTAGCAAGCATCAGTTCCTAGGAATGGGAAATCTGCCCTGGCCTCCTAGATCTTGTTCACCCGAACCTCAAGGCTAGAAGTGAAGATTTAGATTTCAGACCCTCCAATGCAAACTTTCAAACCAAACTGCATTGATTCCTGTTCTTCAGAAGACTCATAGTTTGGAGCAGCCCTGAAGTGGTACTGCAACATTATTATGTTTTTTTAAAAATAACCTTGAGATGCACTCCCTCTCTCTGGTACACTTAAAATCTATGCCAATTTTCAGATGTCAATGTTTCATTGCCTTGCAGCTTTGGTATTTTTATGACTGGTATATAATTCATTCAAATATGAACAATATTGATACAATTGGGATGGATCAGTGCTGGCCACTTGCACTGGCAAGCAGCAACACAATTAGAAACTGATTATAAAATCCAAAGCCCTGCAGCCAAGCAAGAACAAAATGGCCACCTAAAGAGCAGCAAATGATGAAGGCAAAGACAAATAGTCCCAACATCAGCAGCCAGGCTAGCACAGAAACACACAGGCCGAGTACAGCTGATGCTGATCATAGCATCACCCTTCTCTTCTCATAAATATATACATACATATTACAGGTGGGGCGGGCAGGAGTGTACATGGTTACAGATGCTCTCTGTAATTATTTTTATTTTAAAATGTGTCATTCTTTTCTACAATAAAATGGTGCTTATTTCCGTGTACAGTATTTAGCTTCAGAAGCAAACACCATGTTACCCCTGTACGCCTGATACTGTTGTGGCTTTAAAATGTAAAGCTGTGTAAGCTGAAAATATTTATTTTTCATTTATTGGGCACATACTGCTGTCTTTGTAATGTATAAGGAATGTAGAAGTAACTAGAAAGCATGCCTTGAGTGGAGAGAAGAGATACATTAGTTTGCTGTTTCATAATTGACTTAACATACAGAAGCATCTAAATGTCCCTTCCAATATGACCAATAAGTCTAAATTTACCTAGTTGCATCACTGCAAACAGGAATAGATCCTCATAATCTATGGTGGTTACCTTTTAAAACAGAAGAATCTTGGAGGAAGGTGAATCCTGCTCTGGCTACAGTGCTGGGATAGATAACTTCTTTGTACTTCTGTACTCATGTTGTTTAGATTTATTAAAGATACAGTAGAGGATTCAAAAGACTAGAAGCACTGTAATAACTCAGAACCAAAATCTTCTGTTATAGTGTTTTTCTAAACTGCGGTTATTTTGTTGGTTTCTCTCCTGGTATATTAATATTCTGGAATAATTAATATCTGGTATCAAACTGCCAACACTGTGTTCAGGTGAGTATCTGAGCAATGTCAAAGACTCCAGATAGCACCAGTTACCACATGCATATAGAGCAGGGGTCCCCAAGCCCCAGTCCATGGCCCAGTGATGGTCCGTGGCCTGGGCCGAACCAGGCCATGGAGACAGATCCCCCCCATGCACTCCCCCCACATCCCCTTTGGGCATGTGTGTGCCCACGTGAGCACCCCTACCCCTTCGCGCATGCACACGAATGCCCCCAAGTGCCCCTGCCCTTTGGCATGTGCATGAGTGTGTGCGCACCCACGCGGGCACCCCCCCACTCCTTCGTGCATGCATGCATGAGCACGGGGGGTGCCCCGCCTTCTCCAACTGGTCCATGGTGTTAAAAAGGTTGGGGACCACTGATATAGAGGACTATTTGCATGTGTGTGCAGGGGAAGCATGGACAGTTTCTAGCTCTATTCAGGCACAGTAACTGTTGTGAATATCCTATTTGTCCCTCCACTGCCAGTTTCATCGTTTATGCATGGAGGGAAATGAGTCCAGAGAGCTCCGCAGTACACAGGGAATGTAGAAACTGGTGATTTTTTAAAAATCAAATTCATTTAAATCATGATTTAAATTTTAAAAATCTGATCTTTTTATTTAAATTGTTAAAAAGCCATCAGATTTTTAAAATAAATTTGATTTCAATCAAATTCTGCTTCTGATTATTCTAATTTGCATGCAATCTCTCTTCTGAGTCACAGCTGCGTAAGTGAAGTAACAGCCATAAAAAGTTTGAAACGCCATGTTAAGAAACCATATTTATTTGTAAAACAGGACCTGTATATAAAAAGGTTGCACAATCAAGGTATACAAAAATACAAAATTTTTGATTCTGATTACAATTCTAATTGCAAGTTCAAACCAAAAGCATCTCTCTCCCCAGTGCTCCCAGCAAGCAGGGAACATAAGCTTGTGGAACCTGGCAAAGCAGGAGTTCTGATGATGTCAAAAGTGAGCCAAATCCAAGCCTCCCATATCTTGAATGGTGATTTGTATCGGTGAGGTTAACAGCGGTTAAACCTCAGAGGAGCGACCAAAGTGACCCGCCACCTTCCGTGCTTTGGAATCCAGCTTCTGTAGTTTTCAACCTGCTGAGTCCAGGTCTCTTTCATTGTTGTCATCAAACCCCAGTGACTTAGGCAAATTTTGTCTGAAGTCCGGGTCCATAGCAGAGTCATTGCACTCTCTCCCTTCCACAAATTAAGGCTCCTAATTCTCCTCCCACATATCCTTACAGTAACAAGTACTATATACATTAAAGAGACTGAAAGCAGTGCTCTAGTTTAAGCCTAGACTAATTAATGCCTTGGTTCCTGCTAACACACCTGCATTTAAACCTTGATTAAATCAACAGATCTAGTGAAGTTTCATGGCATTACTCATGTTGATAAAGGTAAGCAGGGTGAGTTAAAAGTGTTAGCAGGAACAGAGGCTAATCTAGTTTGCTAGTCTTAAAATGTACTTCCATTATTGGTTTCTGTGACTGACAGAGAAAGGTGTCTTGTTTTTTCTCAACTGTCCTGAATTTTATTGCAAGAAGTCTGAAAATATTTATGTCAGATGATTTATAAAAATGAAACTGAAGCATTTAGTTACACAGCAAAGACCACCAACTGATTACAAAATGCTATGTTTCCTTCAGCAGCAAGTTTTAAAGGTCTGATCCTTGGAAAGGAAGCACAGAATCAAAACAGCAATTTATTTTAAAAAACAACTGATGGCCATTCAGCTCTACTGGGTGTCTCTACACCCTTTTCTGCAATCATATAGCTAAGCTTATCTAGAACAATAACTCTCTTTTTCACACACACACAAAACTCTCTTATGGAGAGATCCAACTTGTTGAGGCATTACTTTTCTCTTTCTCCACATCTGCATTTAGTGCAATAAAGTTTAAAAATTCTGATCTGAAATATTTAACTTTACATTAACAAAAATAGTTCTTTTAAAAAAATTGTAACAAAAAGGAATATATAGCATAAACATCATGAAATTATTCTCTGCAGTTACACTGTAAGCATTTACCATTACAATAAGCCAAACAATGGGATATTAGCATTCATTATGTAGTAATTTTCAGGAATGAAGAAAGGAATTTAACACACATAATATGAACAAGTTCTTATTACTGGATCATTGTAAGCTACCAATCAGTAACAAAGTTCTTCAAGAGGCCTCTGACCATTCATATTAACAGGAATCGAGCCTTATTAAACTTTGGAAACATCTGGAAAGCAATGTTTGTCCTTTGTGCTTCCACAAGGCTTATCTGCCCATTCTCAGTGGCCTTTTCAATGCAAACTCAGCAGAAGAAGGGGAAAAAACCTTTCTTAAACTGCACTCTTAGACTACAGTTGAGGGAATAGCATATTTTAAGTATTGTTCATAGGGAAAAAAACACTGTACATATTTCAGGAACATCTAATTGATAAATTACCTTTCGATATGCAGTGGTTTATGGTGTGTATCAGAGCAAACATTTAAAACATGCAACTCTCCTCACCCACACACTTGCAGTTTAAAGTGATATATTCCAAGCAGTTTTACTACCTCATCTGCTGTTTATGGACACCATAGAAATTCATTCCTATCTATTTGAATTCCTCCTTACCCATTTCAGATCAAGTACTGAAGTCTCTTATAAAGCACTGAATGGCTGCATATATATGCACCATTAGGAAGCTAACATGATTGAGGACTTCTATTATTGCAAAATCCAAACAGTAAAAAATGCTTCCCAGAACTGACAAGGGTTTTTTACAGTAAAAAATGCTTCCCAGAACTGACAACAAGGGTTTTTCCTGAAGATCCTCAACTCTTTAAACCTAAAAGATATTTTGATGTGTCTGAACTACACAAAGGAACCAACAAAACACAATAACTGTGTGAAAATGTCAGTTTTGCTGAATTCCAGTGAAGCAGAGGTGGGTTGGATTGAAAATGGAGCAAGAATTGTAGAATCCTTCTCCCATATGTGTTTTTCCTCCTAAAACCTCTTCTGTGAGTGTAAGAAGGGGAGTTAAAACTGCTGAAACCAAATGGGAGGCAGAGTGGAGGAAGAGAATCAATCAACCCTCTTCCATATGGCCCTGATGTAATTTTCAAAGCCCAAAGGCATGTTCTAACACATAGGCTGAGGGAACTGTGAGCTCTCATTTTCCACTGAAATGGCTGATAGGCTGATTGTGCATTTACATAATTTCACTTTCCAAATGTGGGCAGCCAGGTATGGACACAAATGTAATGCTTTCTGGAAGTTTCAGAAGTATTCATGAGGCTCTCAGATTCTGTGAGCACAAACACACAGAAACTAGTCAAAGAACTACTCTAGCTACAAAGGCAGTGACATTTCAAAAAGATGTTTACCTTCTCCTTCCCACTGTACTCCACTAAATTTCCTAAAATTTAATGAAAACACAAGAAAGAAACAATGTCACTAGTAAAGAAAAACACAAATGACATACAGTACTTTTTTTTCATAGTTGTACATATCCTCTTTACTCCCAGCATTTGTCCATGGAGTCATGGATGAACATGACAATGGGGCACATCTAAGGCTGAACTTCTGAAGCTTATTAACCAACCACTTATTTAAAGAATTTGTGTAGTTCAAATGTGCAATGATATGCAATGGACAATATTAAACTCAGGAGGGGGGAACAAAGTCACTTATGATGAAAGTTGCATATAAAACTCATCCTCTCTCATATGCCATTTCTTTGTCCTTCACAAATGCAGGGGCTGTCTCAATATCTAAATACCTGAGGAGTCGGTTAGGTTGTGTTTAATGTCTAATGTGTAAATTATCTAATGTGTTAATGGGGTGGGGGGGAAGGAATATATTTAACTTACTGGGCCCTATTACATTCCAATGCAAAAGAACAAGCAAAATCCAACATGATTAATGTATAATTCCAACCTCCTCCCTGCAAAAATAAAATAAAAAATAAAAAGATGAAAATCAACGAAGGATTTGTTCCTTCAGAACAGTCATTATCCATTGTGTTTTATGGAGTCATGGTTATTAAAAAATAACCATGATTCCTTATGGTTATCACAAATAACCATAAGAGGAAATGACTCGACCCACTTCCATTATTCCAAATCTGCAATCTTGCATGGTTCTTTTAAAATATTATGGAATCCTCCTCCAAATTATGAAATATCTCAATCAGATTACAATCATAACATTTCTACAAACCGTAATGATTATATTTTTAAATGGAACAATGATAAAAGTTGCTCGTAAAAGCCACCCGTATGAAAAGAGTACATGTTTCACAAAAATAATCATTAAAAAAGTATTAAATCCCTGTTCCTTTTCTCTGATTTTGGCTGCTTTGAAATAATATATATATAGATAGATATAGTTATATAGAGAGAGATAAGATAGATATTGTTTTGGAATGTCAATGGTTTCCATAATGGCTGACTAGCTTCACGATGAGCTTGCTCCAGAGGCCTAGAAAACAAGACAAAAAGTTGTAAGTGAAACTCTAAAAACAGAAAGGAATTTTACAGCTGGAAAAGCATCATTAGAAAGACCCAATCATTCAGAAAAGGCATTTACATTCAAATTTTGAGCAAGTATCAATTTGCTAAAAAAACAATGAAAGTCTGTGGTATTTTGGAGTAAAGAGCATTCTCAAGAATATATCCACCAAAACGGCCTTTAACAGACAAATTGCTGTTTCTGACAAATGTCATACTTTGAAGGTACCACTAGAGATGGGTGCCTTCTATTCATATTTGAAACAAAGCCCAACACAACAGGTGGTACAGATTCCCATCCCCCATGCCCAGAACCATCCTGCTCATTTACTGGGTTCCACACCGTGCAGGGGTCCACCTTCAGTGCCACCATACTAATATTGGAAAAAGCTCAGCTAACACTGTCACCTCCCAGGCAGCCAACCACTGCAGCACAGAGTCTCTCCACTCAGCCAATGAGTGGTTGGCTGTATGGGGAGGCGGGGAAGGATCGACCAGGCTCCTTCTTGGATTGGTGCCCCAGTGCTGAAGATGGACCTCTGTGCTGCACAGAGCCTAGTCAGTGGGCTAGCCAGTTCTGAACATGAAGGACAGGAATCAGTACCACCTGCAGTATCGGGCTTTGTTTCTAATATGAATTTGAAGCACCCATCTCTAATCATGACCTGGGTGTTCCTTTGAATTCTTCAAAGGAGGGTCACTCCTGCTATTTCACACATAGTTGCTCCACACACTCTGATTAAAGCAGTTACAGTGGACCCTTGACTTACAGACGGCTTGACTTACAGACTTTTTGACTTGAGAACCGCCTTCCAATACGGATTAAGTTCTCAAGTCAAGACCCCACTGTATTATTTTGCCCCCACTCCTGCTATTACAATATCAGACTTTGTTTTTACTATGTATTATCACATACTAACTTCAAAGCAAAGGGCAAGGCATGCCTTGCATGGCTTTGAGTTGGAAGCCTCTTAATTCACTCTGACAGGGCTTTTCCCCCCTTGCTCTTCAATGTACAAAACATAAAAAGAAATGTGCTGGATTCGAGAAAAGACCAATCATATAACACTTTTCTCCCACAGTGGCTAATCTGATGCCTCTGAGAGGCCCACAGTGTTGTAAGGGTAACCACACTATCCTGCCTACATTCTCCAGAAAGCAATATTGAAAGCCATACCACCTCTGATGCTGGAGAAAGTATATAACCATCATGACAAGTTCACTGGTGTTTTATCAACCATACATTTGTTTAACCCAGTTTAAAAGCCATCAAACTGTAGACATTACCACATCAGGGCAATTGCAAATTCCATAATTTAATATATGCTATGTGAAGAAGCATTTCCTCTTCTGTCCTAAAGCCAACATCATTAGGTGATACTGTGTTCTACTACTCTAAGGGAGGAGGGATCTATTTTCTCTACACCATGCATAAGCTGACAGAATTGTATCATGCCCCTGCCCTAAATAATGAAAGTTTATATCCAACCAAATGCATTTTGGCACAGCAGGGTCCCTCTTCACAATCTCAGTCTACTAAAGATAGGCTTTCTTGTAGCATCAGGAAATCTCAAGTTCCCATGTTGAGAGATGGTCACTATTTTTGCAAGGTGCTACAAGCTTGTTTTTAGAGTATAAATATGTAAGATAGCCCCTGTAGAAGGATGGCAATGTTCTGAAACACACTGGGCAACAATATGTTTCTACTGTTGCCATGTTCAAAAACTACCATCTCTTTTAGCATTCTTTCCTCATTTTCTTTTTCATGCCTGCCTCCTGGTTTTTGTTTATGATAGCTTTTGGGACAGATGAAGAAACCTTTTCTTTTGGGCTTACATTGGCTGTTCTTTTCAATCTATTTCTCTGTAAACTGAACAAAGGAGACCTGAGCAAGATAAAATAAAATGGTGCTCACAGTTCCTTATGGCTCCAGATAGTATTTAGGTGTTTATCAAATGAAACACAGTATGTCCATCCAAAAATACTGTCAAAGCCAAAAGGAACTATGGGTATCTATTTCATCTGATAAAATGAGGTGGTTTATCTTGCTCAGGTCTCTTTTGTTCATTTGGCAGAGAAACCAATTATAGTCTATTTCACATTTCCTCTCTTGGATGCACACCTTAATATGTTTAGGGGATTTGTGCATACCTTGGAAACTAAGAGCAATATTTTCAGAAAACCAGAATTTGTTATGAGTATAAACTACTATGCAGGGTCACCAAGGTAGAACAATCAAGCATAACTAGATGTATCCATAGTCTCCAGGAACTAACTGTTGTATCAGCTGAAGAGAACTAATAATACCAATGGGGATGGAGAAATTCTACAAAGGCAGCTATTGGATAGCACCAGTAGTAGAAGGAGATACTGGTGGAGGACATTGCACAGACGATGGCAGTGACAAACAACCTAATTTTAGTGGGTAAACCACTTCCAAACACTTCACACATCCCAAAAAGAGGTTACTTACCTGTAACCACAGTTCTTTGAGTGGTCCTCTGTGAATTCACACATACGGGTATTGTCTGCGCCTGCGCTGACTCTCTCCGGAGATTCTAGAGCTAAAAGTAACAATTTTATGGTATGATCCTCCACGAGTTATATGCTTCTCCCACCCACCATCTTCCCCAGTTCCTGAATTTTATCTGCTGGGTATGAAGGAAAGAAGTAACTAATTACATTATTAACCCGAGACAGATAGTGAATTCACACATACGGGTATTGTCTGCGCCTGCGCTGACTCTCTCCGGAGATTCTAGAGCTAAAAGTAACAATTTTATGGTATGATCCTCCACGAGTTATATGCTTCTCCCACCCACCATCTTCCCCAGTTCCTGAATTTTATCTGCCGGGTATGAAGGAAAGAATTAACTAATTACATTATTAACCCGTGACAGATAGAGGAGAAGGATGAGCGGGTTGTGTGAATTCACAGAGGACCACTCAAAGAACTATGGTTACAGGTAAGTAACCTCTTTTTCTTTTTCGTGGCCTCTGTGAATGCACACATATGGGTGACTAATAAGCTGCACTTACCGGTTGGTGGGTCGTCACGGTAAGAAGGATGACAGGACAGCATCCTGGCATGCTCTGACGTCCAGCCGGTAGTATTTGACAAACGTGGACGGTGTGGACCATGTAGCAGCACGACAGATGTCAGGAACTTCGGTGCCATGTTGAAAAGCAGTAGAGGTGGAGAGTGCCCTGGTTGAATGAGCTGTCAAATGTTCTGGAGAGGATTTCCCCGACAAGTTGTAAGCCAGAGAAATAGTCTGTACAATTCAACGTGCTATGGATTGAGAGGAGACTGAGGCCCCTTTGTTTGGGTCGTGAAAGCAAAGAAAAAGTTTCTTGGACTTTCTGAAAGTTTTTGTCCTTTTGACATAGAAGGCCAGGGCACGTCTGACATCAAGGTTATGGAGCATATGTTCCAGGGACGAGGAAGGGGATTTGAAAAAGCACGGTAGTATGATGGGTTGGTTGAGGTGGAAGTC